GAGGGTCCTGAAGGGGGGGTCCCAATCCCATTTCCCACCTGAAATTTTGGCAAAATCCCAGTCCCAGTTGGATTTTTATTAGAAATCCCAGTCCGAGTTATTGAAATCCCAGTCAATAAAAAAAGTTATTTATCGGTATAATAAACAGTTTTAAGACCTTTTAAGCCACCATGTGTGCGCACTGTGTGGCAGAAGCGGTTGTGCTTTGCCTTTGAGGTAATTAAATGAAGTATATACCGGAAACAAGGCATATATTCCGCTGTACATCTGACTTGGGGACACGCATAATCAGAAAACCCAGAATTCCGGGCGCCAGAGTATGCTTGTTCGCAGGTAGTGCTGTGAATAATATAGTTAGCAACAAAAATCATGACCAAAGACACCAAAAACGTTCAAAATTGTATTTTAAAATACTTAAAACGTGGAAAAATTGGGAATCGACTCGCATTACCTCAATCCCATTCCCATTTTTTGAGGACTTCATTTCCCATTCCCAGTGGCCAAATCCCAGTACTAGTCCCAGCAACCCAAATCCCATTTTCCCAGTCTAAAAAAGATCAATCCCAGTTCCCATTTTACCCCTTCAGGACCCTCTACAGGTGCAACGGTGAAAGACTGTTCTGTTGTAATATATTTCTATATAGAGGGGGGAGGGCAAGGGGGGGGGGTCTCTTCACGAAATCACGAAGATCATTTTTAGATTTCACGAGTCACGAAAAACAAAATTTCATTTTCACGATTTTTAGAAACACAGAAGCGTATAAACAAAGTCTGAAACTATTTAACGATTTTCTAGACAGCAGAAATCGATGTTAACACAAACACATTTACTGACTTTAACATTAGAGCTTTTAAAGGACTATCAATCATACAGGGTGTATCAAAAAAAGTAAGACAATTTTGAAATTGCTATCAATTCCACAATTCTGTTCATGAAATGTAATTTTTTATATGTATGGATTGCTTGAGTTCTTAAATTATGGAAAATATAAAAAAAATTGAAAATAGTAAATTTTGCTATTCAGGGGGGTGGTCAACTTTTGCTCTCCTAAAAGTGGCTTGCGCACGGAAATGACAAACGGTATTTTTTATTTGAGTTCATGTATGAAAAGTTCGCTATTTGTTGCATTTATGATAAAATTTCGGCAGGATTTTACCGAGTACAAATCCTCCGAAAAGCCTATGAAAACGTTACATTTTTCTCTGTTGGTGCTGTTCTTGCTCATTATGAATTCATTTTTACTCCCATGAGAATTCCGTGGAATTTCCATGGAATTTGTGCTTTCGAGTTGTTTGTGCCGAAACGCATTCTCTCGTATAATACCCCGTACACTTTGAAATGGCGATGCCACAATTTACCCCGCAGCAGAAAGCTTTTATGGTATCAGATTTTCTCCGTAGCAACAACATAAACTTGGTTCGCCAAAGTTTCACGAACGAATATCCAGATGTACGATGCCCTTCACGTATTCGCACGTGAAAGACATCATCATACATCTGGATATTCTTTCGTGAAACTTTAGCGAACCAAGTTTATGTTGTTGCTACGAAGGAACTCTGATACCATAAGAGCTCTCTGCTGCGGGGTAAATTGTGGCATCGCCATTTAAAAGTGTACGGGGTATTATACGAGAAAATGCGTTTCAGCACAAACAACTCGAAAGCACAAATTCCATGGAAATTCCAAAGAACTCTCATGGGAGTAAAAATGAATTCATAATGAAGCAAGAACAGCACCAACAGAGAAAAATGTAACGTTTTCATAGGCTTTTCGGAGGATTTGTACTCGGTAAAATCCTGCCGAAATTTTATCATAAATGCAACAAAAAGCGAACTTTTCATACATGAACTCAAATAAAAAATACCGTTTGTCATTTCCGTGCGCAAGCCACTTTTAGGAGAGCAAAAGTTGACCACCCCCCTGGATAGCAAAATTTACTATTTTCAAAATTTTTTATATTTTCCATAATTTAAGAACTCAAGCAATCCATATATAGCAAAAATTACATTTCATGAACAGAATTGTGGAATTAAGAGCAATTTCAAAATTGTCTTACTTTTTTTGATACACCCTGTATATTGCAAGGCATTACGAAACATTACGAGCGTCTTCACGAAGTCTACGAAGAGGTACGAAAGTACACGAGAACGACGTTTACAGTGAAACGAAGAAAACTCAAGAAAGACAACCGCGGGAAACAAATTTATTCGTTTTTATAACGTTAATATTAAATTTGGGCCGAGTTTTAAACATAAACATTCACAATTTAGGGTAAAATATTGGAAAATTCAAGACCCTAGCTAGTCCTCTTAGCTCTTCACGATTCACGGCACGCATATTAATCACGATTCACGGAATGATATCTCTTCAAATCACGAATCACGAAGCATGAATAATTGCTAATCACGGGTCACGAAAATACCCTTGCCCCCCCCCCCTCTATATATGTTTGACCGACATAATTATCGCAGCTTTTTTGATCATGGATTATAAAATTTCGTAATTAATAACTTTTTACAAAATTGTAACTATAAAGTTTTATTCCATTGTAACTTGGTACAAGTAACTAGTTGCTTTTCTGGTGATGTAGCTGTAAAGTCCAGACACACCGGACGCGATTCGACAACACGACACTTTATTTTTGAAAGTTAATAAAACAACCAATGAGAGCAAATTTTAAAAGATATGTTGACCAAATAACTCGAAATGTTATAGCCCTTCTAATTTCTAAATATTTGGAAAATTTAAACTAGAATCAAAGTTATCGGCCAGTGAAAATCGAAAAATCGCGTCGCGTTGTCGAATCGCGTCCGGTGTGTCTGGACCTTAACTAGTTACAAAAATTATGTAACTTTTACAGCACTGCAGGGATGTTACGGCCCTTCCCCTACCCCACCACCGTCAAACAGCAGGGGCAGGTTGTACGAAAGTCTGATAGCGCTATCAATAGGCAATTCCAGCTTTTAGTTTATACGTGCAGGGGATGATGGGAAGTAAGGTATCATATTGCTGATTATGCTGAAAAAATAAAAATGGTGGCCGTGTAAACACGGAGTGATAGCTTATACTTGTAAATATTGAAATATTTCAGTTGTTTCGGCAGTTTTTATTGAATTTTTTCAAGATTAATAGATTTTTATTGCTGCTTGAACAACCTTTCGTTTACAGCTAACTATAATCTATCACTAGAAAATAATGCAGTTTTTAATGTTTTTTTGCTGAATCGTGAAACCGTGACTTATTTCAATACATCAAAATAACCCTGCTTCACGTCTCGTCTTGGCAAAGCGGGATCATATAAACAGCCCCTCATTCAGCAAATTACAAATGTTGCCTTTGAATCCCACGGGCTGAGGCAGCACCTACCTTGCGATAGGAACTTCTAGTATTAGTTGTCAGTTCCATATCCGTAGTTTTATTAGTTTTACACTCTGAGTTTTATTGATATGCATTTTACAACGGTTGAAAAAAAAAATCAGTAGCTATATCTGATGGATAGCGCTGTCCGGGCCGCATGATGTTTGGATTTGGGTAAGTTCAAATGATTAATTTATTACACGCATTCTAGATTGTTAACGTTAAAAGTCATATACTGACGGTTTAGTTGGGTGGAGACCGGCCAGATAAATTCAATTTTTGATGGGGAAGGGTCCGTTTCGTGGTCATGTTTCCGCAGAAATAAATGTTTCATTGTGGACCGGTTGCCTCCTCGGCAAAGCACGTCGTGAACATGACGTTTTGTGGACCGGCACGTGATACGGTTTTGACCAATCGGCAAACAGAAAAATTGAACTTTTACACTAACTATGTAACTATTGAAATTAGTATATCATTTATATATAAAAGAAATAATATATAAAGGACCTAATACTGACCCCTGAGGAACCCCACTTTTGATAGTCATTTCATCAGCTAGACTGTATCCCATTTTGTCATATAGTTAGTGTAAAAGTTCAATTTTTCTGTTTGCCGATTGGTCAAAACCATGTCACGTGCCGGTCTAAAAAACGTCATGTTCGGCAACCGGTCCGCAATCAAATATTTATTGACCGGTCAATAATAAAATGGGTGCAATACGCATGCGTGTCAACCATGAAGTTCCAAAGTTCATTTTTAAAACTTTTTACTAAACATTTACGGCTCCATTTATCCAGTTTTGGTTTCAAATTAAGTTCATTCCAATAACCGGTGAATTATTCATACTTTGACACTTATATGCTATATAACAAAACACTTATTTATACTGAGACCTCGGGAACGCAGTGTGTTTTGTGGCCCCTCGACCGGTGGGGCAACAACGGCGATAGTCAGGGTCCGGACCCTGGGTCTTCGGTCCACAAAACACACTGTTTCTCTCGGTCTCAGTAAATAAGGCCCCATTTACACGAGCCCGGGCTGATTTTCAACCCGAGTCAGTACGCCACAGGTGGTTATATTTTTATTCTGTTTATATGAACCCGGGTTGACGACAATTTTTGCCAACCCGGGTCAGCAATTCTCAACCCGGGCTGGCTCGAGTAACTGATTCCGAGCAACAGACTGGAGCAGAGTGTATTTTTGGAGCCCATATCCCTTATACGATTATATCCATTTTAGTTTTGGATGCTTATATATTTTATACGATTATATCCCTTTTTTATCGGGGATTTAGCCGTAGCAACTTCTGCCTTAAAGGCGTTTTCTTCCTTTTTTTATAGCTCCTCGCTATCTTGCACTGGTAGATCTACTGGACCAAAATATTCGGCATCGAACGCTAACGCCAGACCTTCGCGCAACTTTGAATACATTGCGACAACATCGGAGTTGAAATCTACATTTTTATAATCGATTTATCCATCTCCGTCAATCACTTCAGATGACCACTGTCTGAAACGCAGGTTGAGCATTTTTTTCTTTTGGTATTGGACTGTTTTTACTTGTCATACTGTATGATTTTATATGTCTGTACCAAACAAAGAGACGGACAAAATACGCGCGCAAAATGTTGAAGTGTGATATGACGCTAGTCGTGTCAACCCGTCTACGAATAAATCTCTACTAGCGTTTACCCGATAGCTGGGTCAACGTTTCACACCTCGCCAACCCGGGGCACACACCTCGTCAACCCGGGTCTCGAGAAGGGTAGTAAAGCCAGGTTGGCTTTGACCCGGGATCATGTAAAGTGCGGTGAATTCCTGATTGTGAACTTTGCGGGCTGGCGAGCCAACCCGGGTTGATAGTCAACCTGGGCTCGTGTAAAGGGGGCCTAAGTGAGAAATATTTTACAATTTGTTTTCAATTCTGTAAATAATTTTGGAACCAATTTTTGGCTACTCCTCTTATGCCATAATGTTCTAGTTTGCTCATCAGAATCTTGTGATTAATCGTATCAAAGGCCTTAGGCAAATCAAGGAAAATACCAGTTGTGAATTTTCCTTCATCAATGGAAAACTTGCATGAATGCATGTTAGACTAAATTTTAATCTAAGTAATGAGAAGGGAATCAAACACAACAGTTAAAAAGAACATAATGAATTAGTAAAAGTGCAAAATTTGGTTGCGAAATGTTGTTGTAAAATACAGAAAATATAGTCAATATAGCCTTGCGAAGTTTGCATATTTTCAGTATATTTTAAAAATGGTAACAATTTTCGTACGTAATGTAATACAAACATACTGAAAATAATATGCAAACTTCGCAAGTTCAATGGGCCAGCCTCGTTCCCAGGCTCCAACTCAGACGCGCGGGTTCCGACGCAAGCTGTGGACGGCGCAAGGCTATATTTTCCGTAGTTTACAACATTTCGTAACCAAATTTTGCAATTTTACTGATCTCAATAAGCTCTTTACGGGAACGTACTTTTTTTGCCTAAATCAAAAATTAGTCTAACATGCAAGTTGTCTATTGCTTTAGTTATTTTGTTAACTAAATGTGTTATTCTGTGATTATATGTGTCTCAGTCTCTCACAGGAGCGTAAGACGAGCTTGTTAAACTTTGGGCGGGGGGGGGGGGATAAACCATAAACTGACCGTGAAGTCACTTTGAAGTTAATAAAGGGAAAGTTATTCTGGTCCCCCTCGATATTTAATTAATACGGGGCCGCCCTTGCTCCTTTATAGAATATTGCGGGGGCACCCCTGCAGTCCTCACCCCCTGGCCTTTCAGGTATTTTAAGCTGGTAAAATAGAGTCCGAGACCTGAAAATACGAGAAATCATTCCCATTTTCAAAATTGTTTATCATGATCATATTCCCAAAAGACAAAGTCTAGTCGACTTCCTCGCAGCCGCTCTTTGAACGTGTCGAGGCAAGTCCCTTCCAACCCCTCAAGTGACCTATGTCAGACCTCTCAACTCTCACGCATTCGGCGTGAGTCTCACGCAATTCGCTTCAGTCTCACGCTCTCACGCCACGTTTAGTAAATGTCACGCATAAAAATTTTGGTATGTCCGGAAAAATTTTTGGACCCCTAAAATGGTACACTGACCGAAAATTTTCGGTGGGGGAGGTCGCCGGAATAATTTTTCCGAAAAAAAATTTTTCGGTACTAGTCAGACACAATCCCGAAAAGTCGGGCAAATTTCTTTTCGTCCCCCTAATTTTTTCCTTCCGGTACGCCCATGGACCCCCGGACTTTTACAAAGGTGTCATCCACATCCCCAATCTCACTCTTAACTTCTCTGCAAAGTTGAGAGGTCTGCTATGTATATAATATACTCACTTGGATTACAAACCCTAACATTCTAACACTATTGGCCTGTCTGAGATTTATATTTGATTGATATTTACAGAGAAATATGTATGTTTCAACATATATAATTGACTAGAATAGAATCACTCACTATACGATACAATTTTCAGGGCCCGCGGAGCGTATTAGAGAGTGGGGGGGCTAAATCATCAATGAAAATGTTCAAGGAAAATGTTCAATTTTCTATTACCTTAAACGCTATTTCCTGCATTTTTGGAGGAACTTTAGCAAAAAATCTCCAAGACCATCGTCATAAAAAGTAACAAAATTTAGACCTTTTTGATGTAAGGTACACATAATGGGGTGCTTAGCCTTTATTCATTTTAATTAGATGCGAAAGTTAAAAATGCCTAGAAAAGGTTTAATTAATTTAGAAAGTTTCATTTAGATTTCTATTTTAATAATTTTGGCTGTCAAAAAAAGTGGGGGGGGGGGGCTAAAGCCCCCCCCCCAGCCCCCCCGTCTCCGCGGTCCCTGATTTTTTTTTATTGTATGTTGTGCTTGCCCTTGTGTATGCCACGAGAGAATGGCAGATGTGAAAGGGTAATTGAGGAAATGACGTTTTTATTGGCAGGTGGTGTGCCTGACAGCCCTGCCTGCCAATTGTATCATATGTCACTTCACATTATTGAACATTGAAACGGTACTAGACTGATTTGCTGTATTCTTGTTTGATTTCCTTTCTAAAGCTTTACAGATACAACTAGTAGAGGTTTCATACTTGTATTTGCAACAGGCGTTTGGGCAATACGATGTGGGATTCTTTGTTCAATTGGTATTGGAGCGAAAGCTTCTGGCTACCGGCTAATGTCACATGGCAGCATTTTAAATCTACAAAAGACATAACTATGCCTCAACCAGACGATCTAAGAATAATTCCGCCTTTAACGATACTTCTGATTGTTATTAGGATTCTATTTGAAAGGTAAAGTATTTCATAAGTTCCAAAGAAGGGTTTCATCGACTATCAAAACAATATAGAGGTCACCACTTTAAAAGTTTGTAACATGAAATCGCTCGTATATTCAAACGTTTGTTTTTTGCAGAAACGGCAACAGCATGCAGCAGAAATGATATGCAAATGATAAAATGCATGCCTTTTTACAATCTAGGTAGTTTTATGCGCTTTTTATCCACGTTGAAAATCCGAAGGGGCAAGCCTTTGCTGTTGTTTATTGTAGGATTATTAAAAAATAAAAACAAATCGAAGTGAAGTATCAGATTTAATACTGGGTACCGCGCCTTCGCATTTGTGTTTCAAGAAAAGCAGGAACATTCTAGTTTATATAATAGGTTATGTTGTTATTTTTCTATATAGTAATAACCCGGAAGTCTAAGAGTAATGTCTGCTATCAGTAGACAAAAAATTATTGCTGTTATAAATGGCCATATTCGTATGCGTTTCAAATTTATTAATTAAAGGCGTCATTGGACATGCATGATGGAAATTTTCATAGTCGACTAGGTTTAATAGACCAATGCATTTTAAATAAAAATGCTTTTAAACCTGATATTTAAATATATATTTTGCCTTTATATGATAAGAGAAGAACCTCACTAATACTGTATTTGCTTGATTTGTAAGACTGATTGCAAATATTTATTTTTCAAGATCCTTTCTTTATTACAATGTCTCTATAGCTTCAAATTCAGCATATTTACCTAGATAATAGTAATACTATTAGGCAAAGATCTTAAGAAGCATAGTAGGCTATTCAATAAATACTGATAAATACAGATTGAAAATCAAGATAATGGGCAATACTGAAGTGTTGTGCAATACTGAAGTGTTGCCAGAAAGCACAGATGTGGAAAAAAACTATGAACTGCCATAGTTTTGGTCGGTAGGACAACAGCCTGGCACACACAATGTGTTTTCTTTTAGTCGGCCGATTCAAATTAATGAAATCCTTGCATGTACGGTGTCATATTTTGGTCAGCCAATAAAAATCAGACAATATCAATGAAAATAATTTGATCTTGTCTGATTAAAATTGGCCGACTAAAATTGCATTGTGTGCACCAGGCTTTAGAAAACTAAGAAATCTTCAATGTATCAAGTGAAGGATCTTTTTGCACTAGTTCTAACTTGCCTTATACTTGAAATGTTGAGGTTTTTGTTATCCTTTTCAGAATTTCAGGTAGTTCTGACCAAAACCAGATGCTTTAGTTTAAGTGGTTTTGCAATGCTTTCAAATTCCCCACAATGTGAACTAGAGACTGAATATGCATGGCATCCAATGAATATCCAACAATTACTGTAGTCACATTGTTTCTGATTCAGAATTTGCATGTGTCCAGGTTCTATATGTGAGTGTCTTTGTTCATTTACACCTGCTCTCTTCATTTTTAAAAGTACATTTAAAAGGTTTTTATAAATGTACAGACAGTTTGAAGCTCTGTATTGATTCATTAGCATTCAGCACTTTCTTTTTAATCACTAAAATCACCTGGCATTGGCCATTTCAGAATTTCATTTCCTGTCAATTTTTCCTGTTACCACCTCTCCCCCGGGATTTCTAAATCTATTAGGCAAGCATCTTAAGAAGCATATTGTCAAACTATTGTTGCACACAAATATATTATCAAAATTTCACAAATGTCAACTTTGAAAAGCATTCACCAAGTGAACATATTCACTGCTAGGGTCATGTTACAGTCATGTGTTGCATTCAAACCATTTTTTCTTGCAACCTGCAATGCAGTCTCTGATCTACAGGCATGTTTATTAACCCATTGAGCGGCAGTGCACCCTACCTTTTTTTTACTTGTCTAACGCCAGATGATTTTACTTGTCAATGGGGAAGCTCTGCAGCTTAATGGGGTAACCAACAAATTTGACATGTCTCTAGTTAGCCCATTGAGCCGCAATGCGCCCCAGCATGCCCTACTTTTTTTTTTACTTGCCTGTAAGACCAGATGCTCAACAAAATGGGGGAAGAATTGAACTGTGCATAATATGCCGATCTCTCCACTGCTTTACAACCCAATTCCATAAATCCAAAGGAACATTTTAATTAAAGTACTGTATGTACATGGCAGTTATTATAATTATTATGTCCAGCACATATTCAATACAGGTACAGATACAGATATTTCACAGCACACTCCCTATCAGGGCTTTTCAGTGACTGGTTACATGTACATTATGAATAGATAGATTGAACCGGACTGACGTGAAGCAGACCGAGGTAGACTTTGAGCTTACAAATGGCGCTTGAGCAGCCGCTATTAGTCCATACCTAATTAAGGTTACAGGACACCCTTTTTGGCGTTTTGTGGAAAATCGCTACTGCGCGCTCAAAAGCAGTCCAATTTTCATCAAATTTTCACCAAATGTTAGCCAGTGCATGCAAAATATGATAAAGTTGTAAAATTGACAAACAATAAAATAATGTAAGAATTATTCAGGAAAATCTTAAGTCGCGGTACCTTTACGCTTTTGAGTTATGTTCCTGCTGGTCTTAAAGGACATTGGCAACGAAAATTTTTATTGGCTATTTCAATCCTACTTGACAACCTAACTATGAAAATATTATCATTTCCTTCTCGAACATTTTACTCTAGGAGTAAAATGCATGCAAACTTTGTGTGTCGCCGCCATCTTGGAAAAAATGACCTTCGAAGGTCAACGAATTTTGTGACGTCATTAGATGGGTAGCACCAAAACTACAAGTGAGAATTCTATTGCGTGCGTGTCGTGTTAGCCAAAAATATGTCGTTTTGAGCGTTATACTGGCCAATACCTTTCGCAATCAAACAAGAGAAGCCTACACTATCAGATAAAAACATATCGAGCGACTGGGAAAGCAAGGAATGGCGCAATTTACAATACAGGTAATTGATCATAAAATATTGCATTAGTGTTTGCCTTGTTTACACTCGAATTACTGCGTTTACTTAACACGGACTAGGACTGATATACTATCAGAAATAGTGTTACAAATAAGGAACATACTTGGTAAAACGTTTCTGCCCTTCGTTTAGGCTCAAAGTGCACTACGCGTGGTAATACTCGGTATTGTTTTATAGTCATGAAATTGTGTTTACCCATCTAATGACGTCAGATAATGTTGCTGTGGCACAAGTGTTTATTTTCAAAATGGCGGACTACTGTTGAACTTTTTATTACATTTTCTCAACAACTAAGTGCGACAAACCGGCCAAAATATAAAATTAAGTATTCCGTAAGCATACCTAATAGATATAAGCAATAAAAATTTTGGTTGCCAATGTCCTTTAAGATATATTTATGAAAATATCATTTTTATACAGTAAAATAGTTGTTCTAAAAAATTGTGTTCGGAAATTTTTGTTTATTTCGTCATTCCGCTGATATGGCGATTTCTTTGACGACTGCAATATATTTCTGAATCGTTTGTGTGAATTGCTCTTTATTATTTCTTTGACGACTGCAATATATTTCTGAATCGTTTGTGTGAATTGCTCTTTATTATTAAAATATCCAAAATTAGAACAAAGCCGAACACAATTTTGAAACTGACGTCTTTAGCTATGTCCTGTGAAAATTTGAGAAAAATTCGTTAAAACCCGCAGGAGCACAACTCATTTAGAAATCAGTAATTGCCGTAAAATCCTTCGGGAGAAAATTGAATTTGAATATTACATTTACAATGTTTTTCTTATTGCAAGCGAAATGTATTTTATTATATAACTCTGTGAATTTTCAACATTTTTTGTTCAAACTTGGTCAGATAGTAGACCTAGTCTAATGCTTTCATGGAAACCAATAAAAAAATTTTAGGCAAAATTAACACTCAAAGGTGTTCTGTAACCTTAATGATCTGCCTCCAGACCTCTGCTTCAATAAAGATAATGTACAGTAATTCTATTAACCAACTAGAAGTTTCACATGGTTTTTAGAATATAAATACGTTTATATAAATACTGGATATAAATACGTTTTTATGGTTTCCTGCCAATGCATTATGAAAGATAATAAATCTAAAGAACTCTGAACTCAAGATCAACAAACAAACATATTATAGCAAACACTTTGGTTGTATCAAATGCATTGCTCAGTTGTGCATTATTCCATTATGCATTACTGTATCTGTCATACTGTATTATTGTTGGTGCCAATCTGTCATCAGTCCAAAGTTTTATGAACATAGTAATAGAGTAGGGTAGCAAATTAAAATAAGCAAACAAACAGAAACTCATGCACGCGCAACTACAAAATCAACAAAGGTTTAATCATTATGGTAAAATTATCTTCAATACCACACTCATACAGTACTTACTATAAATTGGTATACTAACCAACAACATTTTTTACTACATTACTATATACATACAAACTGAATACTGAGACATGAAGTTTACTGTTCTGTCTGGTATTTTGACTGTATATGGAATAGCAATTGTTATAAATTCTTGAGAGAGTGTTGGACTGTTGGCTAATGCCCCATTAAGGCCAATCATGACTAGTAAACATGCCAGAGTTACTGGTGTACAGTATTTATTGTTACACCATCAACGGTTTAACAATAGTGTGTAAAACTTTAATGAACACCTGCCATGAACAAATATCACTTACCAGTTGATCTTGCTTAGTGTGAATTCCTAATCTTTTAATGGACATGACAGAATTAATATAATTCCTGACAATTTGATTCTTGTTGTCAGATGGAGAGCACTGGCACTCAATCGATTACATTTGCAACAAAACGTGTATGTTATATATAAATATGCAAAACTCTGATTGAAGTAGCCCTGAATAAGCTCAGCATAAAGGACAAAGTTGATTCTCTTTTGCTCTAAATTCTCAGTGCATGTATGCAGACATGATGGTAGGTAAGCAAATATAGGCCAGGATTGTCATATGCCAGGATTCAGGATTGTCATATGCCAGGATTGTCATATGCCAGGATTGTCATGTGCCAGGATTGTCATGTGCCAGGATTGTCATATGCCAGGATTGTCATATGCCAGGATTGTCATGTGCCAGGATTGTCATGTGCCAGGATTGTCATGTGCCAGGATTGTCATACGCCAGGATTGTCATATGCCAGGATTGTCATGTGCCAGGATTGTCATGTGCCAGGATTGTCATGTGCCAGGATTGTCATGCGCCAGGATTGTCATATGCCAGGATTGTCATATGCCAGGATTGTCATATGCCATGATTGTCATATGCCAGGATTGTCATATGCCAGGATTGTCATATGCCAGGATTGTCATATGCCAGGATTGTCATATGCCAACCTGAATTCCGAGGTCTGAGAAACAAATGAATAGTAAAAGAGTTTGCTTTGCATTGAAATTAATATGTGTTTATTGTAAATTATTCAGTCACTGAATAACTTACACTGTAAGCTTGATGTTATATCGTTGTAATACTTGTGTGTTGTAATATATATTATTGAACATAACAAATCCTACACATTGATTGGTCAAATTTGAGCTGTCATATTCAGTTTAAGCCATCATATTCACCAACAGGTGACTATAACAAAACCGAAATTTTCAAAATGGCGGCTAGCTGTTTTGTGAAACTTACTGATAAAGAAATAAGCGAAATTAAAATATATATTCAATCCCAAAAACACAAAAGACTTGACAGTTGTGTAAAAATACTAAAACAATTATTCGCCTCAGGCTCGGTGATTATTGGGGAATATTCCCCTCGACTTCGTCTCTGCGAATCCCCAATGTCACCTTGCCTTCGGCGAATAATTGTTAATTAAATACTCTGCTTTTTTCATTATTTAGATTTGTTGCCTATCCATTTTCAAAATTTCTTGGTGTCCCAGATATAAAAAGGAAAATTGCGGAGCCTAACAAAATACTGGAGAAAGTTTTCACAACAATTAGCAAGTCACCAGATGCAGACAGAATTCGAGGGTTAGCCAAGGAGTTACAGTGGACACAAAAGCAAGTACGACAATGGTTTTATTTAAAGAGAAGTGCAAACAGACCAACAATAATGAAGAAATCTACAGAATGTTGGTAAGAGAATTTCCCTTGCTTTCTGCTTGAATTTTAAGACAAGTCCAAATGCTGCCACATACATCTTGGAATGAACAGTGAGTGTCACAGATAAGAACATTTGACTGGTTTTAATGTGATCATGTACTGTAGCCATAGATATCTTATATACACTAGATAGCGCATCTCTTTTAGTAAAATTGAAGCCAAGAATATTCCAGCGGTTACCCCCATTTGAATAGATGGTGGCCATGTTGGTCGTTCCCACTTGCTAATAAATGCTTAAAAACAACATTTTATAACTTTCATCATTTGAATAGTTTAAAAACGCATTTGGAATAGGGTTAACTTAATGTTTAAGTTCCCTGTTTAAGTTCCCTATTTAAGAAATAGAAAACATACCAATCTTCTCATTTCATGGGAACGACCTGAGACTGCAATCACGGCTTCAATTTTTGAATTGCAGAATAATTAGATGCACTATCTAGTGTATATAAGATATCTATGACTGTAGCCATTACATTTAACTACCCTTGCACTGATTGAGTGAGCTACATGTACCTGAAACCTTCATATGTATGTTACAAGTTTTATGTGAGAATTGAAAATGTAATAGGTATGCCCATCGGGGATTCTACACATGCAAAACAGCAAATTCCCATACATTTTCTGATAAGGTTTCGAAGTTCATATTGTTCACAGAACTCATTGTTCTTCCCAAGTAATACAATCACAATAGTTTTGATTAATTTATTCTGTGCAACTGGTAGCTGAGTTGACTTGAGTCATTTACTGCAGAAATCAACAAGCCAAGTGCGAGTTGAGTAATTTGGGGCTGTTGACTCAAGTCTAGTCATTTTTCGTATTCACTGAAAATAGTGACTCCAAGTCAATGGCTCAACTTGTTACAACACTGCTAATAACTTTTTGTTTTGGTAAGCATTTCATTTCACATGATACAGTATACTGGGGCAGGATGAGGAAGAAACTTATTAAGTGCTAATAACTATGCTATATACATGTTTCAATGGCAAAACCAGGTTCAATGCCATTGAGATTTTTTGTAAATAGATGGCCAATTTCACATGAGACATTGAAAATGGCAAAATTGCAAAATGCAACATTATGTGGTGCTAACCACATGTTTCCATAGTTAACACATTGGATTATCATAAATCAAAACGATTTTTGCATTTTGGCCCATGCCCACTCTGCGGCAAGCCATTGAATCTGCACTTGTTTGTTGCAACTTTTCTGTGGTTATAGTGTGTTCATTTAAAATAATTATAACTCAGTCACTTTAACTTTGAAATAAGTTATATTTCTTAACAAACACAGTCTAAGCTTTACATATCATGATGACAATGTTAGATCAGATAATATCCAGTATTGCTGTGATCAATGGTGCATCAAAGTTTGGGTAAGAGAAATGTAATGTCTGCAACAAAAAAACAATTCAATTTATTTTTCAGCCAAACGTTTAGCTCTTTTGACATTATATTCGTGCTGCTTTTTTAAAATGGTATTAACGTTATTTTAGACTGAAAAAAGACAATAAAAAGTATTAACATGTCTTGAATAATGCGTTGCGGACATTACGTTGCGGACATTACATTTTTGAACTTGGAGAATTAGATGCTTATTATTAATTGTCTTGCTTGAATTCTATAGTTATTTTAAGCTTGATGACTTAAAAATAGAACATTAAAAGGACTATGGAACCCTACTTTTAACTATAATCACTCTGTGCTGTATACACAAATCATCATGGAAAGTTTCCAAGTTACATATAACGCCACTACCCTATACTGCCATAACCATCAGTTTTGTAAGGCATATGTTGTTAAGTGCAAAATCATGTTTTCATGTTTGTTTCGATCATCTTCCACTAAAGTCAGGGGTGTAATTATCCCCACCAAATGTAGTAAATGCAAAACTCAAAAGCAAATAGAATGGTCTACAAACATGGCACTTTTTTGCTGCACAACCTGAGTATTGCCTGCATGAGTCAATGCACAACAAATATTGCACTTTTGAAAGATATTGTTGTCAACAGAAGGTTATATACTGTATTATTATTTATTTAAAAAATTTCTGGTTTCTGACTGGCTAACAGCCAACTGTGAAATTGTCATATCAACTCAATGGCTAACCAAATATGGATTTTTCACATTCATATTAAGCAAAATGACGTCAAAGAGTCAATATGAAAAAAATTTGGACGCGTTTGCGCCATATTACTATGACGACGAAAATCATATTGACTCGCTGACGCCATTGAAATGACGACAACGGCTGCTGAAGGAGTAACGAATTGTTTTTTTCTTAATACAAACACAGAGTAGAGACATACAGAGACGTAACTAGTGTACCCACTTTTTTTTGTGCGCATGCTCGGCAAGTTACTAGATGCATGCATCTGATTGGATGACGACTCACTTTAAACTTGCTGAGCACGCGCAGTTGATAATTTTTCGCCCGGTCGCCTGAAAAAAAGTGGGTACATGATAACGTAATCTTCCGCAGTGTTTACAATGGTCAGTTACGTCTCTGTATGTCTTATCTACTCTGTGATACAAATAAAATACAAATGGCTTCCGTTTAATTGTTTTGAATTTAATATAAATAATAAAACAATTATTGAATTCGGTTTTCGCACAATATAGGAAGAATTATCAAGCCCTCAGTTCGCCGTTATCAACCTCAGCCTTGGTTGATAACGGCAAACTGAGGGCTTGATAATTCTTCATATCGTGTTCAACCTCATTCAATAATTGTTAATTATATCTGACCATGATTTCATCCCGGGATTTATGTTGGTATACAAATGTAAATAGAATTAAGCTAGAATGCCTGTTATGTGGACTAGAAACTTTGAAGTGCATAATCAGGCACCCAGTTTTCATTTCCTATTATTTTTAATACAGATTGCTATACAATCCCAAAAATGTAATGTCCGCAACAGTTTCAGTGTAATGTCCGCAACACAAACTTTGCACTATAGAAGCTGCGCAAGGGCATTGTAGAACATCTCGTTTTCATATTTTTTAACCCCAATTATCAATGAGAGCAGGCAGTGTTTTAGTTCCTTTGATACCTTTCAAAGTTCACAGGAAATTACATTTTAAAAACATCACTTCAATGTGTGGTTGATATTGCTGTAATGTTCGCAACAATACTTTGACTTTTTATTACAAGAAGTGATTACGAGGGAATTTTGTTTTATTTTATGAAATCTTAAGAGGTCCCCTTAAGGTTTTCTTTGACAAAGTTCCCAGATCAGAAACTGTTGCAAACAGGAAACAGAGCATGTTTTGTATTTATTGTTTTTCTGTGAATGTAATGTCCACAACGTGAAATTGCCCAGATGTATATTTACAGTAATAATAATACCGTAACCCCCCCCCCCCTTACCTGTACATGTATAAGCCTGCCACGTACTAACGCTCACCTTATTCCAAATATAAGCCCCCCTCCTCCCGAATATAAGCCCCCCTGAATAAAAGTCCTCTGAATATAAGCCCAGTAGCCCACTACGTTATTGCACTCAAACAATTCCAAATAACGACAACTAAACATGTTATGTATTTAAATGTTTTAAAGCATTACTGAAAATAATGTAGCAGAGAACAATATTTAAAAACATTGTCATTGTCTTTATAGCTTACTATGTTAATCAAAGCGTGTTATTAATACATGTTTATTTTCCTGTTTATTACCATTTTTATTACTAACACGAAAGATCGTCCATGTCCGAGCCCATCAAAAATTGCTTATGAAAAAATATAAGACCAGGGCTTATAGTCGGAGGTTTATGATTCGACTGTGATTGGTTGATTTCAGTGCAGTTAATCTCAAACAGCAGTGCAAAAATCTGTAACAACAATGCAAATATTTGTAAATAACTGATCTGATTGGTGGAAAAACAACGGGAAGATAAAATCAACCAATCAGCTTAAAGCGGGGTCACAGATTGCTTCAAAACAAACAAACATGGCACCGCGCTACATAAAGTTGAGTTCGGGTGGAAAATATGGCTTTTATCTCTTTTTTAAATGGAAAAGACTTTACCTTAAACAAAACTAACAAAACGTACATAGTTGAGTGAAATTTTCAAACCGTTAATAGCGTTGTACAATGTTATATACCAAAGCAGAGTTCCAAAGCAGGAACACTTTGTCAGTTGACGGTTCGCCGTATCAACGTAAGTTAATGACCATGTACAGTAAGAGGTCCGGCACCGCCCGAAAAAATCTGCCTGACCATACATTTTCTGCTTTTCGAATAGCGATTAGCCAAACTTCTACTGTTAACACATGTCGATTTCTTGAAAGATATAATTTTGTGAGATCACGAGAAAATACTTAGAATGCTTTAAATATGTAAACATTTATTTATTAGTTTTACAATCGTACAAAAGTGCTATAAAATATATAACAATGATTTAAGATATGGTCAACAGGAAATGAGTCCCATGTGAAGATCAACCCGACACAAAACAACAAGTAGACATACATTAAAGACAAGGCCTAGAACACTATTTACATTACTATATAAAAATTAATAGGTTAGATTGTGAGCAACAGCTTAAGTTGAAAGAACAGCATTTAGAGCGGTAGGTTTTTCAAGTGCGGATTCTGTTACAGGAGTCTAATTAATTGAGACGAGTAGTGAATATGGAGCTGAATATTAAAGGCTGAAACAGACGAACTGTTACGAATGATCGGCGAGAGATTGTTCCATAGGAAGACAATTCGGTTAAAAAACGTGTTTCTAAAAAAAGAGGTTTTGCACGGATTGACTTGAAGCAAGTTATCCTTGCTTGAACGGGTGCGAGATGAGCGATTAGAAGAAAAGGTGACAAAAGAGGAGATATCCAGGTCGTGGAGGCCTTGTTTGTATTTGAAAAAGATCCTTTATTTCAAGCCAGTAAGATATAGGTAGTAAATTAAGTCTCCTAAGACGCTCAAGATAAGACAACTCATAATTTTGAAGTATAAATTTAGTAGCTCGTCTTTGAACACCCTCCAGGATCGCAAGATCGTGTGACGAGGCTTGAGGTGCCCAGATCTCACTGGCGTAAGACAGGTGAGATCGGACGAATGAGAGATAGAGAAGCCGACGGCAGCAAGTATTAGTCATTTGAGAACAATTTCTGCGAAGAAAACCAAGCAAACGGTTGGCTGTACGGTTGGCTAGCAGTACAACTGGCAATGCGAGGGGACCACTGAAGGTTATTGCTCACAACTACACCCAATTCGATGGCTGCAATCTTAACAGGTTGATTGTTATTTAAGGTGGTAAGAGTGAGTTGGAGAGTTGCGTTTCCGAGATACCCTGAGCAAGAGCGTCTTACCAGTTGTGCATAGAGTCAAGATCAGTCTGTATAGGAGATCTCGATCGGCTGATGATTGAATTGTACGGTAACATTTACTGTCATCAGCAAAAAGTGCTGCATTCACATACAAAACGAAAATAGTGGACCTATGACACTACCTTGTGGCACACCAGACTCAACGTTAAGGAAAGATGAAGAAACTCCTTCAATAACTACACGCTGTTTGCGATCATGGAAATAATCAGCGAACCAGTTACTGTAAGAAGTTGACTGGAAATTCAAAAAGATTTTAGTTTGAACAAGAGTTTGCTGTGAGATACGGAGTCAAAAGCTTTAGCAAAATCAAGATAAAGAAGATCAATTTCATTGAATCAAGAGCACGACCGAGATCATGAAACACATTCAAAAGCTGAGTAACACATGACCTATTGCAGCGAAAGCCATGTTGAATGTCGTACAAAGAGACCTTAATGATAGAAGAAACCTGTTTAAAAATCAAGCGTTCAAGTACTTTTGAGACTTGGGAGAGTAATGAAACAGGTCTGTAGTTGGTGACTTCATGAGCGTCACCTTTCTTAGGTATTGGAACCACATTAGCAGATTTCCATTCAGTAGGAAATACACCCTGCTGAAGAGATAACTCGAAGAGAACTGTTAAAGACGGAGCGATGACTTTGGAACAGCGCTTTAAAAGATATGCTGGTATGCCATCAGGCCCATTAGCTTTAGGAGGTGACAAACTGGATAACAAAGATTGTAGCCTACTTCAAATTCAGATACAATTATTGAGCTAAAGTTTGATGATGACTGCGAGGGAGAGATTAAAGGTCAAGAAGAACTTGTGTCGGAGGAGGTAAAAACTGACGCAAAATAAGTATTAAAAGTATCAGCCTTATCTTCAGCAGAGGATATATATTCAGATACCCCCTATCTTTATTACATCAGGTATGGAATTACATCAGGTATGGCGCTGTACTGTACTTCGCTACAAATCGTATCGAACTGTGCTACAGCAACTGTCCAGTCGCGCATAACGTGATTGTATTGTTTCAACTTCTGAACAGTTAAGTCGTGTGGCAGTGTGTCAAAAGCTTTTGAAAGATCCATCGCCACAAGACCAATCACCTTATGAAAACCTGTACCCTCCTTGCAGATGAGGCTAGATCCGCCCCTGTGAACATTTTACTCTGATTCAGTTAAGTTGAATCAGAGTACAGTTGAACCCCTATTAAACGGACACGTTTGAAACGTCACAAACGTGTCCAGTTAAAGAGGTGTCTCAGGGTGCGATAATTCACGTACTTACGTACCGGAGGTACGCCAATATTACGGTCTGGTACGTCTTTGTTTTCAGCCACGTACCACGTAGGTACGCGGCACTCTTGCTATCTGCGTACTTAACTTTTTGTCACCATATGACTTTTCCAAGCCCAAGGTATTTTTAATAATACTGTAATTTAATTGGTATATGTGTAAATCTGACATGTCTTGGCATGTCTTGGCAAGGCAAGGGAAGGGAAGGGAAGGCAAGGGAAGGCAAGGGAAGGCAAGGGAAGGCAATATTTGTTTAATATGATTTATTCAGCCCTGTTATATTCACAAATGCATGCTGTTGAACTTTGGGGTTCCCATACAGTAAATGAAATGTTGACATACGGAGACATGTTATATTTAGATGCACTTACTTGAAAATCAAACGATCCTGGATACAGAGACGTTGTCTCTGGATTAGTTGCCTGAACGAGTGCGATTGCTAACATTGAAATCAACCGCCTATTGATTGAAGCACAACATCTACATCTATCGCTCAATGAGCATCTACATCTATCGCTCAATGCACACAGTATTGTATTGTGAACTTTATTTAGTCACGGTGGACTCATCAGGATTTTACACACTTATGATAAAGTAACAAAGGAAATTAGATATATGATAAATTATACTATACATATTTACAAAACTACCTGTTTTTCATGAGTGCCGTGCATTAAATTGATAAAATTAGATAAAATATTTAAAAATTATTGAATAAAGTTGCTACAGTCAGACTTAAATTTATGTAAAGTACTAGCCTGTCTTAACTCAGTAGGAAGAGAATTCCACAGTACTGCACCGCTATAACTAAAGCTATTTTTCAAGTAATTAGTACGCGGTAGTGACAAAGCTAGTTTGTTACTGGTGTCTCTCAATGCATAATTTGTGATACTATTGCGATCAACAAACATATTAGAAAGATAATCTGGAGCAAGACCATTCAAGGATTTATACACCATGATAGCCTTGGAAAGCCTACGCTGAGATACAAGATTTTTCCATCCAAGACTTTCGAAAAGATAATCGGCATTTGTATCATAACTAGAAGATGTCAATACCCTGGCAGCACGATTTTGTAATTTTTGCAATTTGTTAACTAGATAACTACTGCAACTATCCCAGACAGCAGAGCAGTAGTCGAAATATGGTTGAACTAAGCACTTGTAAATAAGTTGCATTGTGGTAAAAGGAACATAAGGTCTAATGCGTTTTAGTGCACCAATACCAGAAGCAACTTTTTTACTCAGTTTCTCAATATGAACATTCCAGGATAAGTTCTCATCAATGTGTACGCCGAGTGATTTTGTATGAGAGACTTGTTTAACTGGAACGTTATTTATTACTAATAAAGGAGTAGATTGAAAAGAGTTTATTCTTTGGCGAGAGCCAATTAGCATAAATTCAGTTTTAGTCTGGTTGAAAGTAAGTTTGTTTGCTGATAACCATTCACTGACACTAGCAAGATCCTCGTTAAGATTATGATTAATTTCATGTATGTTATTACTTGCATATGTCAAATTAGTGTCATCAGCAAACATTCGTGCCCGAGAGTGTATTAGACAATTAGGAAGATCATTAATATAGATTAAAAATAAAAGCGGGCCTAATATAGTTTCCTGAGGAACCCCACATTGTAGTAATCGATTCGAGGAGAAATGACCGTTAACAAAACA